AATGTTTTATATCCTCCTCACCCCCCCCCCCCCCCCCCCCCCAAAAAAAAAAAAAAAAAAAAGAAACGCTTACTTACTGGAAGCCTTCCCTGCTTTCTCCTCATCAGAAGAAAGCCTCAACTTTGCCAAGCTCTCCCTCAAATCCCTATACGGCAGCCCAGCAATTCTCGACTCCGTCTCCTTCTGTTCAATTTCTCTCAAATTCATCAATCTTTGATTCAACTCCTCCATTGAAAACCACCCTTCGCCTTTCCCTTCCGGCCTCAGTTTTTTCAACTTCTCCCCCAATTCTTCGTAGCTGTACACCTTCACGAACTCCGTCTTCATCGCGCTCGATTCCTCTCCGTCCTTCCTCTCCCTCATCTCCTTCCCGAACACCGACGGCGGCAACGGGGCGCCACCGCGTCGGCCCCGCCTATCGCCGTCATTCTCTGCGGCGGTGGAGAATTCGACGGCCTCAATCTAAGGCTGTTCTTGAACGCCGAGAGAGACAACGGGTCCTTACTTCCCCCATCGTTCCGAGCGGTATCGGACGGCCGCATCTGCCTCAAGCTCTCGCGAATCGCGTTGAACGAGAGATTCCCGCCACCGGAATCCTCCGGATTCGTGTTCTGAGCATTGTTTTGGACGTTCCGCTTGTAGAGCTCCTGGAACGACGGCGCGGGGCCGGAAGCGCCCACGGATCGGCGGCGGAACTCGACGAGGTTCTTCCGGATTTCTTCGAGGGAGGTGACCTTGGGAGGCGGGGAGGAGTGAGTAGGGGACAACGGCCTTGTCGACGATCGCGGTGGCGGAGGGGATTGGTGTTGGCGGCGGAGACTGGCTTTGACATCGCTGAAATATGAGGACAAGGAAGAGTCGGAGGTGGAGGAGGGCTTGAATTCGTTGTTTCGGTCGTCGGAATCGGAGGCGGTGGAGAATAGGCGGATAAAAGTAGGATTTGGGAGCAATCGGCGTTTGGGTATGAGTTGGAGCGCCATTGAAGAAGGAGAGTAGCTTTGCCTGGTGGGGCCTCGGAACTGAAAGCCCTAGGTTTTTGGAGGAAGATGAAGAGATGCGGGTTTAGAGGGGTTTATCGATTAGGCTTCATTTTTGGGCTGAACGCAAGAATAGCCAAAATGCCCAATTGGGGTCTTCATGTTAGAGATCTGTCCAACAAGGCAATGACAAGGTGGGACTCTACGTTTTGCCAGGAAAATTTCATTTTGATATCTTATATTATATTAAAATATGAGTTTAATATTTTTTATTTTAATAATTTTATGTTGGTATTTTAACTTTTTAAAAAATTTTCTTTAGATATTTTAAAGGTTGTTTTTTAAGACACAAAAAGATAAAATTATTTTTATTATTAAATATAAAAAAAAACTTTTAAACAAAATTTAGACCTTTAACTAAACATCTAAACTTCACTCTGCCATAAATATAAAGTAAAAATCTTGATTGTAGGCTTGAGATTTAATAAAAATCTTTTTTTATATATTTAATAATAAGAATACTTTTGTCTTTTCTTGTCCTTAAAAACTACCTTGAGGTATTAAAAGAAGATTTTTTAAAAAGTTGAGATATCAGCATAAAATTATTAAAAATAAAATGTACTAAACTCATATTTTAATATAACACAGAATACCAAAATAAAAATTTTCTTATATTATTTTCAGGAAAAAAAAAAGAAAGAGGTGGGACTGTAAATTGGTTTAGAGCTCTTTTTAAAAAATAAAAGGCTTTATTTGCAAAATAAATTTTAAAAAATTTTAATTTGCGAAATGATTTTGAAACAATGAAATAAAACTCATCTTCTATTGCACAACTGAAAAAGTCACTCACTGTAAAAGTGAAAAGTGTTCATTTTATTAATTCTATTTTGTAAGTTTGTTATTTTGGCAAATTTCTTAATTGTGATTTTTTTTTTGTTTTTTTGTTTTGTTTTTTTTTTTTGTTTTGTTTTCATGAACAGCTAGAAAAATGCTCAATTACTATTAGTTAGAAAGATATGAAGATTTATACCTTTTCTTAAATACATAAGAAAGATGATAGGAGAGGGATAGAGGATAGAGAGAAAGAGATATGAGAAAATTAATGAACTTACCATTAAGGTGCACAAGTCTGTATTTTTATCATTTATTTTTAATTCTTAATATAGTTATTTGACTAAAAAATGTATTAATTAAAAAAATGAAGTTAAAATTAAAATCCATGCACTTTTAAAGAGTATTTGTTAGGATTTCTCATAAGATACTCGCTCTTATTAATTCTGATTATTTATCAATTTAAGAATACAAAATAAAAAATGTGGGTTAGAAATTATATTTCTCTTTCGGGAAAAGGAGACAAATACCCTCTTAAATTGTTTGGGTCTTAATTTTTATTTCTTACTCTTGATTAATACTATTTTAATCAAATATTGATTAAAAGATTATGAATCATGAGTAAGAGGTAAAAATATAAACGCATGCATTTCTAAGGATATGTTCAATAATTTTCTCTTTCATAATTTCTCTCTTCTTTTTATGGAGAACTACAAAAATGTCATTGTAGAAAAATCTTTGAACAATTTTAGAATCATATATCTTTTTTCACTTACAAAAGTGTCATTATAGAAAAATATTTGAATATTTTTAGAATAATATATATTTTTTCACTTTTTAAAGCTAAATTAAGAGAATCATAATTTTAAGATAAAAAATAGAGGGCACAAAACAAAAGAAGCAAGTTAAAAGCATAGTCCTAACTTTTTTTTTATATATATATATATATATATAAAGATTATTTACTGTATATTACACCAATGCTAGTAGTTTCCTTACATGTGACCAAATTTAAAGAGGGCTATTTTGTATTAACACTCCTTGAACTTTTTGAATTTGACAGTTTAGTTTTTAAATTTTTTTTCTTGATAATCAACTATAAGAACTTTTAATTTTTGGTATTTTTAGTCATTGTTGCTCAAATTCGTTAAATTTTGATGGTTTTTTGTGTCAAACTTATAAGTGACAACATAAGAAGCGCATTGATAATATTTTTGTTTGGTATTAATAAAATTCATGTTAAAATTTAAATTAAAGTTTAAGTTATAATTAAATTAAGTCAAATTTTTAAATGTATTTGTATTGAAACTAATAAAAATGAACATCAATGTCTCTATTAGGCTATGATTTGCAAGTTAGGTGCAAAAAGCCATCAAAATTTTAATAAATTTGAGCAACAAGAGTTGAAAGTATCAAAAACTATAAATTCAGGGTTCATTGCCATGAAAAAAAAAATTATAGACTAAATTGCCAAATTCAAAAAGTTAAGAGAGTGCTCGTACAAAATAGCCTTTTAAAAATAACTTTAAAAAGCGGAAACTTTGGAGAAACTTGCAAAAGACAAGCTATGACAGACACGAGGGCAATGTGGCAATGTTATGGGAGTTCTATGGCTTTGTTTTGTTGCTAATTTGTGCATGCCCGTCTTGGTGGCGGAAAGTGATGCACTGAACGCTGTTGCATCCATCCATTAAGGAAGCTCAGAGTTTTCTCCTGAAGATTTGGTCATTGGTGTTGGATGATGCAAGAAGCTTCTTGCTGGAGCTTGGCCAGCCATTTGTGCGACAACTGAAGAGATTTGCTAATCTTGTTGCTCATTAACTTTCCAAGTTTGGGTTTAGTTTCAATTTCGGTGATGTTTGGTTTCATGAGATTTCCACTATATTTCTTAGATTGTGTTGTTGATTCAATTTCTAGTTAATGAAAATATATTTAATAAATTTTTTAAATAATCAAAACATAAGCAATACTGTTGTAGCTACATTTTTTTATTATATTATTAAATTATTTATGATGACATGATTGCTCTCATTTTTCAGGGAGAAAAAAAAAATTTTTTTTGAAAGGAAAAAATTAAAGACCTTTTTTTATAAAATTTATCTATCGATAAAATCAATTTATAACTGTTAAATTTAATTAAAATTATATCAAATTAAAAAAAATATACATAATAAATAATTTTTAATACATATATAATGATTAAAAAATAAAAAAAATTACCAATAATTTATGATTCTGATCCTACTAAAGAAACTGCTAAAAAAACAAAATTAACTGCCATGCAATAAAAACATGTCGAGGTCCATTCTAGACAATGGCTTGACTCTTTCCTTGCCTGCGTTTGGCACATTTGCCCCCAGTGTGATCCCTTATTACGCACGCAACGCAAGAGCCCATCATTGCTATTCCTAAACCCATAACAGCGTATCCGAAAAACACCATACATGTGAGGGACTGTTAACACAAAGTTTATTGTACGTGCGAAAAACACTTGCCTTTTGGCACGTGCGAATAAATAGATAATAAAGCCCCAAGAGCGGAGCGGAGTTAGGGAGGAAACAAACAGAAGTGTGTGAGGTTCGGCGGCGAGTCACGCTCTTCATAACGATAACGAACTTTATTGTGCACGAAATTCTTATCTGCACGCGATTACTCGGCGCGTCCGTTACACGGCAGAATCTGGATGGTGGCAGGTAGTAGTACTTCTGATTCTGATGGATTTTCGAGTGGCCGATGGATCCGATCCAAATTCCAAACTCCATTTGTCATCTCAATATGTGTTTTAAAATCCATGCGTTTTCTTTTCTAAAGCCCGTTGACCACCTAATTAAACATCATTATTGAGCTTTTATTTATATTTTTTTTTCATTTTCTCGTTATTTATATTTTCAGAAAATATCGTTCAAACGTTCAAATGTTGTTTTAATGATTAATCATACAATGGAAGCTTTATATGAACTTGGTCTTGATAATTTTTTGATTTTAAGTAATGAGTAGAAGCAAAATATCGAAAATCGAAGGTTCTTATTTTAAGGGAAAAAAGATTCGAAACTCTTTTCTAGTGGTGTATAAAGTGCTAGTAATCACCGTTAAAAAAACAATTGTTGATCAATAATCTTACATTTTATAAGTACATATTCGGAATGTCTAGTCTGGACTGACCTGACCTATTATTTTCATTGAGTCGGGCCAAGCCAACTCTAAAAAGATGAAGGTTAGTCTGACCCTAAAGCATGACATGTCTAGAATTGGGTCGGGATGGCTCAAAATTTACAAGATATTTTTAAAAATTAAAATGAAAAAAGATGTGTTTGGGTCAGGCGGTTCGAATAAGGTTTCGAGCTTGAAACCTAGGCTCGGTCTGGCCCGAGGGTTAGGTCCGGCCCGACTTGAACACTTAAGTAGGCTGGGTCAGATCGGGATCGGGCTAACAGTGTCAGACTTCGGGCCGTCTTGTTTAGTCCGGTTTAAACTTGCAGTTTTAGCCAGTCCTATTAGTAGTGTCAGTTTTTAACCGTTGAATAAGATCAAAATGTCATCACATTAAAAAGTATGCAAAATAGACAATTTATAATACAAATCTAACGATTGACAATAAAGAACTATCAATAATTCATTTTTGTAGTCATACCAGAGAAACTCTCATAATATTTAAGGTATCTACTATCTTTGGCAAAACTAGTAAAGACACCATTATAAAGTATAATAAGTTGATAATAGTAGAACTGGTCAAATTTCTTTCATTTACTTTGCTTTTTTCTTTTTTTTTTTGGAAAAATTTTCTTTTTTCCAATATTATCTTAGAGAAGTGAACTACACACTCCATCCATACTATTTACGCCGAGCCCCTCTAAATCAACATCCACTTGGGAGGAATAAATCTAGGTTTAGTAATATAAATTATTATTAACTCGATAGCTTCCTTCAATAGTGAACTGAAGAATGATGCCCTTATTAATCAGTCAAATATGATAATAATTCATCGCTATTACAAATTTACTATATTAATCAAAGAATGATTTTCCTTTTGAGTACTCCATTACAACATTAACTTCCTTTTGGAGTACCCTATTACTATATGGAAATCGATTACTCATACCATCCTTAAGATAATAATATCCTTAACAGCTGTAACATATATGATGAAAAATAAAATAAAATAAAAATCACAGTACGTAAACTCCAACCCTTTTCTCCCCTCTTGTGCTCTCTCTCATAGACATTTAGGGCCCGTTTAGTTCGCTGATTCGAGTTAAGATGTGATGTTATGTGAGAGCTTTTTACTGTAGTAAAAAAGTTAGATGTGACTGTTTCTGAGAGTTTTTTACTGTAGCAAAACTCGAATTCTAAACTCGAATCAGTAAAGTGAACGGGGCCTTAGATAATTTATTCCTTTCCCCATTTTCACTGATCTCTGAAAATCCTGTAATTATAAGCAGTAGCAACAGCACTTGAAATTTACCCAAAAAAAAAAAAAAAAAAGGAAAGGAAAGGAAGAAGAAGCACTTTTCCAGTGGCGCGCAAGAAGTGGTAGTAAATATCGTACTGAATTGATACAGGTAGAGCAAGTAGGCACAAGCGATAATCTTTGTTTCTACATAAAAAGAAGAATGTTGCAACAACAAACTTTGAGATCTTGCTAGTACGTAGTATGGGTTTGCATTTATCACAATCTATTTCATTCGTTAGAGTATCATTAATTTGTGTCATAACTTTGAATAATAAAAAACGTTCACAAACCTAAGTAATTGGTTTTACCTACCAAATGATAACTATGCCTATAGCACGACAAGGACAACAAAAATTGTCTTCATGTCATGGAAGTAATTTTACTTTTATTTTATGGAGTTGGTGCCTGAGGCACTAGCAGGAAATATATATATATATATATATATATGCATATATATTTTATGGAAGTAATATATGTATATATATTTGGTAAAAAGAAGGATAAAAATATGCGGGCCATCAGTTGTAGGACCACATATTTTAGGAAGGTTATTTTTTTTTTTTGAGAGGCTATTAATAACTTAACTCAACTTAACAATTAATATAGGCGTGTTTGGAACTCGTTCTAAAATAATTTTATTTTTTGTATAAAAATAAAAATGAAAACGTTTTCAATCTCAGACAGAAATCATTTTTGAAAATGCGTTTGATAGTTTTATCTAGAGATTATTTTCAGTATAAAAAAATATATTAATGTCTCTCTCTTTGCTCGAGAGAAGAGAAAACAAAAATAAAAAATAAAAAACGACTAAAAGTCGTTTTTCATTTCTCTCTTCTTTTACACTAAACTAAAAAATTATTTTCATTTCTATTTTTTATCTTTATTACGCTAAATGCCCTTTTTTAAAAATATTTTCATTTTTTTTTAAAACGTAAAAAATAAAAACGGAATAAATTTCAAACAGACCCGTATCTCTTTTAATTGTAAAATGATTCTATTGTGGTTTATGATTGACATTCTATGAAATCAGACAGCATGGGAGTAACCAAAGGGGTCGGGCAATGAGCCGCCTGAAACCGAGTTTGTTTTTCTTACTTCATTAGCCAATGAAGTGATCCATAAATGCATATATTGGTAACGTATTTTTGTGTCTTTTTTTTTTGCTCAACATATTTTTGTGTCTCACCACAACATTCTTAAATTTTAATATATAATATAGAAATATAAGGATTATTTTGGGACATGGTATAAAAAATACTCTATCATATTTGCATAGTTATGAATCAGAAGATTAAAAATCTTTATGTGCACTTAATAACCTTTCGTTTGTGAAGTCTGATATACACTATTTTCTTTTAAATTTTATTTAAATCTGTCAATGTAACATTTTATGTAGTAAGAATTATGCGTCTAGAATAGTGTTTGTATTACCTTTGTATATTTGGAATATATTTTTTCTTAAAGAAAACTATATAATAAAATTCTCAAAACAATGAAAATGAGATTCGTCAATTTAAATTTTTAATTCGAATTAAGATATGATTTTATGTAAAATTTTTTAATTATAACAAAAAAAATTAAATATAATTTTTTATGAAAATTTTTAAATATAACAGAATTAAAATTAAAAAATCACGGAACCTTATTTTTTCCGCTGAAAACTATTATAAGGCTTGTAGTACATAACAGAAAGCATCCCCCATACACATAAGTCATAGGTACCACGTCATTAACTGACAGTATCAACATCTGGACCAGTTGTTCTTAACCATCCCCACCTTCAACCATAGCGCGTACGTGTAACACTCCTAAAACCAATCCAACCTATAAAACTTAGGGCCGATAATATGGGTCACGACACGACGACATGACTTAAAAATGACACAAATTTTATGGGTTAGGATTGAGAAAAAAGAGGTTCGGATCAGAATTGGGTCGACCTGAAATTGACACGAAAAATATGGGTCAATTTCGGGTTAGACCTGCCTAACCCGAACACGACACGAAACTCGTAAAAAACTAAAAAATACATATATTTTTCATTTTATATTTTAAATTTTATTATGAACTTGTGATATCATGATAGTTATACTCAAAATCTTATACTATTATTTGCTTAATTTCAATGGATGTTATTGTAATTTAGTGTGTTATGAATTTTAAGTTATTTCTAATATGTAAAAAACTAAATAAAAGTATACAATTTTCGTGTCAATTTCGGGTTCACGGGTCAATTTCGTGTCACGGATCATTTTCGGGTCGTGTCGTGTCAGCTCGTAAAGTGGTCGTGTCGTGTTCGTGTTGCGGTTTTTAAAAAGTTTTGTGTCACGGGTCGTGTTCGGATTGACTAAAAATTTTAAAAAAATGATCAAAACACGACACGTGACACAAATTACCACCCCTAATAAAACCCTATCTAATCTAAAATCTAAGCTAAAAGCCAAAAAGGGAAAAAAAAAACAAAAAAAAGAAAAGAAAAAGGAACAAAGAAGCAAGCCAGGGTAGCTCACTCCACCACTGCCACGTGTAACTGAACCCTGGCCCACACACACAGAAAACAAAAATTAGAGAGAGAAATCCACAGAAAAGGAACAAGGGGTTGTGAATGAGCATCTACTTCCCCACCAGAAACACACACACACACACACAACACACATAACAAAACATAACAGTGATTTTGGCAGACCCACATATAAATAAAGCCAACCCCAAAAACCCACCCATATTATTCTTCCATACACACAATCCCATACACAACCATCACAACTAGATTTTCTGTTTCCTTTTTTTTTCTTTTCCTTTCCTTTCCTTCGACACCTGACTTTTCTCCTCATCTCTCTCTCTGACACTCACTCCCTGAAACAAAGAAAGAAGACCAAAGAGATGAGCGACGACGATTGGGTCAAGGCCGCCATGTTTGCCGACGCCATGGTCGCCGACGTTCTCCTCAGCCTCAGGAGAACCGACCGCCAGCCGCCGCCGCTGAAGCGAAGCTCGCCTGCTCCGCCTCTCGACTGGAGCGTCAGGCAGCGGCGGTCGAGGCACCCGGCGAGACATCACGGCGTGGAGATGAAGAAGATAAGGAAGACGGATGGCGAGCCGGCAAGAGCCAGCCCGACGACGCCGCTCTCCTGGAGCGGCGCCGCCTCCGTCAGCGGCGGCTCCGAGGAGTCCAGCAAGCCGCCTAAGCCTACCGGTGGGTCGAGATCTAAGGTTTGTCGCTGCTCTCCCTTTGAGTCTTTCTTCTCTTTTGGTCAGAGTTGTCGCGTCGTACTTTGTACGACGAGTCTACGGTGTCGTTTCTCGTGGCTTTCTGTAGGGACGGTATTACATAAATGCCCCTAGAGAAGTGTATTATTCAAGATTGGTTCAAAAGTCGGATGCGGTAGATTTTTTCGGCTTCCAGACCTGTCAGATTTCTTCCTCCTTTTCAATCTTTTTAGGAGCTTCCCTAATATTCAGCATCTCGCTCAGTTACCATTTTGCCCTCCTTTGCATGTCGTTTTCCTGTGGCTGAGTCGGCGGGATTGCCTATACGCGGGTCATCGGCGTAGGCCGGTTAGTATTCTGGATTTCTTCTTGGAAACAAACTTTTTTTTTGGATTGAAATGCCCTTGTCTTTCAAACCGAATAACTTTCCATATCATTTTCTGGTTTTTTTCCCGTATTTTCGTCATGAGGAAATTGGTGACTTTCGTTCAACGTATAGAGTCAGAAGGTGTGAATGATTCTTCTTATCACGTTTTCTTTCTCCCTACTTTTCCACTTCTGGTCACGGTCCATATATCAATGACAAAAATACTAAATTACCCTTGATAGGTTTAGAAAAAGTTTCTCAGCGAACTTCCACTCTCACCCAGAAACTGTCCAGCTCCTCAAATGCCTTTGTCGGAGGAGCCAACAATACTAACTCCTATTAGGCCGCAAGTCCGAAAACTGTCCCTGGTGCCAAAGTCAAACAAACGCGTGTATAATTCCAAAAGGGTATTTTGGTCATAAGGGAAACTGGTCACCCGCTTTATCGGTGGCGTGTTTTCGTGGCAAAATAGATCTGCGTGTGGTCTGGTGTAGTTTGGTAGTGGTTGTGCACTTTATGTTTTTGTTGTGGGGGGAAGGGATCCGGTGCGGGTCGCCGCATGTTAGCGTATTCTGCGGGCGCATGGTATAATAGTGGTAATAAGAATTAAAACGACAATATAAACTTGGGGTCCCACGTCGTCGTTTTCACGTGAAAGACCCGCTTTGCGCCTTGTGGGAGGATAAAGGGTCGATCCGATTAAAAAAGAAAGACAAGTAATGTGTATGAGAGGATCTGAATGACAGCTTGATCCCAACCCTTGTTTTAATTTTAATTTTTCTATAGAATTCAGAAAGTTAAGCTTGGATCCCTTTGGACACAGTAAATTTAAAATGGATTTTAAGTTTATGATTTGGTTGTCGCTCCTCATCGAATGACAGCCTGTCCGTGTCGTGCTAGCCTTTTTTTTTTTTTTTTGGGTAATTGGGTTTCCAAAAAGGTGGAGTTTTAGGAGTCAAATTATTGTTTCATGTTATGAGGTTTGAAATTTGCAACTTCGATAAAACATCAAAGTAGGACAACATGCTTTCTTCTTGCTTCTTATTTTATTTTGTTGTTCATTTTTTTGGGGGATTGCAATTTGGGAGCTACTAGACATTAGGCCATTAGTGGGGACCAAAAATGGTCACCTCAATTGTTAATGGTATTAGCTGACTTGATGCTTTCTTATTGGCATTACAACCGCCCCAGTTTTGTCATCAAACATAACACTAGGGTTCTTGCCTTCTTAGAAACCGACATTATTGTCAAGTGTACAAAAAGTCAAAATTTTGGCATGGAGGGTTGACTTTATGCTTGGGCTTCCCTTTTGTAATAGCAATAGTGTTAATACACATGTCTAGTCCAAATTAGTCACGAGCAATTCATGTTAACTTTTTTAGAGGAATTTTATTTGTGCTAGAAGTTTGTGCGTGTGTGTGTGTGTGTGTTTTTTTTTTTTTTGTTTTTCATTCTAGAAAAAAATAATAACTTGGGATTTTAACTATTTGTCTATTGTCCGCGTACAGGTTTCTGTTAGGAGTGAAGCAACAACTTCCAAGAGGCCAAGAAAGAAGAAGGTAACGAACTAACTTATGAGCTGTAAAAATAGAAGGAACAGAGAAGGCAAGGCATGCTATTGGGTTATAACATGATTATGATTTTAAAACTTTATTAGTAGTCCTGTTGATGGTTTCGTCCGACACCTTTTGCTGTAATAATCTTGTTCTGCTCTTCTTTTTATTGGGCTTACTTTTGAAAAACGGACTTGTCCAACTTTAGATGGTTTTTATCTTGGCACTAACATTTATTCCAGTTAACAGCATTTTCAAGCTCTTTAAGACAACCATTTTTCACTTGATTATTTCTCTTTATGCAATCACGTCTACCATGTTCTCTGCCCCCACCACAACTTCGTTTTTCTCGTCGTTTTACCTGTTTCTTCCGCTGGCGCTTTATTTTTCGGTCTTGTTGAGTGAATAAGATGAAGATTAATATCTAATAAATAATTACCCCACTTTTGTTGCTTGCAGACATTGGCTGAACTCAGAGAGGAGGAGACTTTGCTATTGAAGGAACGGAAAAGATTGAGAAATGTATGCTTCCTTCAAAATCAGAATTCTACCTTCAAAATCAGAATTCTACTTAGTGCTTGTTTGGTTGGAGGGTTTAAACCACCTTGGTTTTGGCTCAAGCACTGTTTTCTCTCATAAAATTTGAATTATGTTTCAAATCATCTGGTTTGAACCTACCTTCCAAATGGTTAATGCTTTCTTTAGTTTTGTTAATATAGCCATTTGAGGATGCTTGACTGTTGTTCTTCTCATTCCATTAAGCAGGAAATAGCAGCTATGCGTCACAATATGGAGAAACAAAGAGTCACAAACGAAAGCTTGAATAGAATGAAGGTGAACCAGCTATAATACTTTTTTTTTTTTCCTTCATATTTTATTGCTGCTAGAAAATTGACACTATTGATAAAGTCATTGCAACAAAAGAAAGGATACCAAGAGATATTCTTTCTATAGCTTAGTATAGGTTCTGCTTTTCTGTTGATCTCTGTGAAGAACAAGAATGAACTATCACGTCCTTCTTTTTCGCCCAAGTTCTTAGCTTGATAAGTACGACAAGAGACATATTCTAACAATTCATAGTGTTCTTATATTTCAGCTTGATTTGGAGTCTCAGCAGAAAACAAAGACAGTTACAGCATTTGCTCTATCCGACAAAGCGATTACTGACCAACCTAAACAAGTTGATTCAGTTTGTGAACCTCAGTCAATCATGCCAACAGATGTTCATTGCAATGGTCTTGATGCTCTAGAACGTTCATGTGCGTCAAACGAGTCTCGTAAACTGAAGGAGCTAGAAGCTCGAGAAACCGCATTTTCCCTGCCCGATCTAAATCTTCCGGCAGAAGGGGATTTGGGCTCTGAGGTGTTGTGTGGAATGAGCTGAGAATGAAGAAGCATTAGTTATAGCTGTGAAGAATCAGATGTATACTGATACTCTGTTTACCTAATTATGGGGATGAAGATCTTCAAGGCTCATTTTTTAAGCTTATTAAGGTAGAATCCTTCCATCCTAACCAATGCTTGTAGGTTCAATGTATTTCTAATTGTATAGTACAAAACCAATTACTTCAACTGCATCTTTCTTTAGATGCGAATTTTTTTTTGGGGTCTTTCTTTTTTTTTTTTTGGGGGGGTCTATAGACGAAGTTAATGAGGGGTAGTGAGTAGAGATCCTAACCCATTAGTTATTATAGTTCATTCTTCATGACAGGTTTCTAAATTTGTCCAATATTCTTTGGGGCCAACCCCGGCTTCCTTCTTTTTTCTTTTTATGGTCCCTTGGAAATATTAACTTGTAATCATTTATTAGTAGTTTACGTATTTAGACGCATCAAATTTGGAAATGGGTTTGCCATTTTTTGCTGTTATATTTGTTCATTCACTTCTTTGATACTTGCTTCCTTTTTGAACTAGACAAGATCACGCCAACAATGACAGTAGACCAAACAAAGGAGAATATCATACGTTTACAAAGAGGAAAAAATGTTAGCAACTGTGTATGAATCAATTGTTATTTAAAACGTGAAGACAAAGTGATAATGAAAAGAGCCATATCTAGAAGGTAAAAAAAAAAAGGGAACCTGTGTTGTGTTGTACGTAGATAAAGAAAGGTTCGGGCACGGGTTCGGGGATTTTTTTTTTCTTCTTCCTCTTCTTCGGTGGGAAAGGAGGGGAAGCTGTATATTTACTTAGTGCTTGGGGGATTATAAAGTAAAAGGGCCCTTTTTTTTTTTTTTTCAGAAAGATTCTCTAGTACGCCGACGTACCGATAAATTAAATTTTTTTAAACGTTAAATTTACGTATTTTTTAACTTTTACCTGTTTTTATATAGATCCGATGACAGAAAAATAAAAAAATAAATTTATTATGAATTGAAATCAATTAATAGAATAAATTTACAGCAATTATGCTTGTTAAATAATAAAAAACCAATAAAACATGAATTCTAAGTATTCACTCCGTCAACCGACCAATTCCCAGTTTTACAGGTAACTTAATAAGATTAGATAAACGCTGTCACTTAGAATGTCACAACGTTTGCCAATTTTTACTTTTTTTTCCCCTTTAATTCTTTGCTTTAATAAAGACCTAAATTGCAGTTTGGAAAAAAAATATATTACTGTCATAACTCATGACCATGGCCAAAGGCTAGTGACTTATTTTTATTTTTATTTTTATTTTTCCTTTGTCAACAAGACTAGTGACTTCAATCCTGTTTGTTGGCATGCACAACACACTGCAGTATTAATGAACACAACGCCGACCACGTTTTGTACGGCTGTACTTGTACATGTTTGGAGTCCATGAGCAATTGGACCACATATGCGTTTGATGATATTAATCTTCACTAGTGTCCCTATTGCTCTTCTCTTTAATTCTATCGAAATTACTTAAAACTATTAGCGTATGTTTGGGAGGTACAACACATGTTTGGGAGGTATACTCAAATATGACTTTTAATTTTGACGTTTGAAATTTAAATTTTTTTTTTAAAAAAATACTGTAACAAAATTAATAATTTGAGTTTAAGTATATAAAACAAACGAGGTCTTAATTTTGGTCATTTTCTTTATTTTGCCTATGCAGCTAATAATGTGTAAGGTTCGGTAGATACCTTCTACAACCACTGCCATAATTGATCGTTAGCTGCATTGAGTTTATCCCTACTCTAATCAGAAGCAAAAGTGATGAACAAAAAAAAAAAAAAAAAGCTAAGAATAATTATTTTGAAGTAATTTGGTATTTAGCTGCGTTTAAATGGGAAATTGACTAGTTGTTTTATAATTTGCTGTAGATTGCAACTATAAAATAACCAATTAGGTAAGTTTCACCACGCCAAGTCTAGGGATTGTCACTTCATAACAAATTTACTGGTAATAACAGTGCAAATCACAGTTTTACTACTTAAAATATTACCATTAAATCAATTTTCACTTAAATGATCCATCGGACACATGGAAAACAGAAGTCATCGTAGTTCTTCGTTTAAACAAGATATATTAAATAAATATTAAATATTGCACCTTCACAAATATGTAGCCGTGGTCAGAAATTCATTGCCATGGCCAAGAGCAACTGAGCAAGTGGCTTTTTATTGTTGGGAAAACTACGTTTCTTATATAAAATTTGAGCTAAGACTCATACACTCAGGTAAATTCTTTATATTTTCATTATATTAAGCTATTTAATTAAATGGGTCTTAAGTGATCGAATTAAGTTTAATGGGAGCCTAATGATAAGTATATAAGGACTTGTAGGCTATGATCCCCAATAGTCAAATCATTTGACCGATTTCTCTTCTGCCCCATCTAGAGAGAGACACTCCATTAAGAAACTTTGGTGATTTGACTGAGGAAGACAATAACCGGTTAATCAATCGTCGTAGTAATTCCGCAAAAGTGTCGATTGTTACTATTATGAATTCATGTACGCTTTCTCAAATTTTCTTAGTAATTTAACATGATAGTTCTTAAAATTTATGAATATGGTGATTAAAATCATATTTATAATTAAAGTCTAACATTTATCACTTCTCAAGAGACGCTGCCGTGATATTTTATATTCTTAAATTTGGAAGAATAATCTCATCTTCTGTGATCTCCCAATATAAAGGCCGCCAAAACTCGTGGCAATTGTACACGGTTCAAAGAAACATCATAAACAGCAAAGTTACAGCGTTCAACTCTACAAATAAAAGTTTTCTAAAAAAGAAAACTATAAATTAAAGCCAAATGTTTTAATTAGTAGCATGGCAAAAGTTGCGTTAACTATATATGACTTATGTAAGGTTGCTTATACTTTAAGACTGAAGTAAATAAACTGATATTATAAGAGGGTATCCGCTCAACATGATAAGGGCACATTTTATACACATATATTATAAAATAAATAAATAAATAAAAGGGAGATGGTATTTAGCATCAATATTGCATCAATTAGTCAATATCTGCACGGTACGAGTAAATCAAAAAGTTAATCCCCTTGAACTAAAAAAATCATTAAATTAATTTTTTTAGTAGAAAAATCCTTAATTTAAGTTAGTAATCAAATAATTACATACCTAAATTGAAACCAAAATACTCTTTTATAGTAAAAATTGAAACTAATAATATACTTATAAATGAAAAAAAAAGTTCATTTCACTGATTAAATTAATTCCACAAGAACGCTTAAAATTAAGAAGGGACAAGCAAAGAACACTAATATATATATATATATATATATATATTCTGTTTTTGTACCAAACTTCGGACCACATTATATACGACAACTTCAAATTAAAGAAGAAAATTAAGCTAGGCTAGCTAATTAGATGGAAACAGGAGAATGAGAATATTAATTACTAATGTTCTATATATTATACTGGTGTCCATATTTATGCAAGGCAATAATGGCCTAGTGAGATCAAGCGGTAGTACTAACTCTGAGCCAGCTCTAATATCTGTCTCTGCCACTTCATTTGATGAGTTTGTGCTTTGCTATCCATGCTTTATAGTAAATGCGCAAACGATTGCTTTGAGAGACACATAAAAGGCATACCCATATTCTATGCGCATTGTATGGTTGTGTGTAAGATTATTTGCTCTTACTATCGCCAACCTCGCCAATCAGCATCGCAAGTTGTCAACCATTGACAGTGTAAAAACCATGAAACATAGTATGAAATCTGCAGGTATATATAGCTTCCTTTGCATTAAAGGGAAAGGGAATGTAATGGAGTATTTTTCTTTTTCTTTTATCAGTATGAATAACTTTTAAAGGTTTTAGTACTGTTTTAACGTCAAAAATAATATGTACTGTGGAAACAAAACTAAAACCTTTAAAATTTATTCATACTGATAAAAGAAAAGAAAAAAAAAAAAACTCCATTAATAGGGCAAAACAATATGTCCTTTCATAAAATTTTCCAAAAAAGAAAAAAAAGATTTTTTTTAATTGATTAAGTACATAGAAAGGAGTTTCCATTATTAAATAAGTAGGGCACAATGTTTTTGCAATATCTAAAAAATTAGAATGGCAAAATACTGCCATAGCTTCGTTGGCTCCATCAATGTTCTATTTCTATGCGTCATGTATGCATGTGTTGTAATTATTTATGTTTGTTATATATGTATGTAATGTGATCTATTTAGCATTTCCTCATTTTTTTTTATTTTTTATTTTGTTTGATCATTTTTTCTTATTTCAATCTTGACTATTTGTAGCCTTAAAATTAATCATTGTTTGCAACTAATTATAAGTCTAATGAAAAAAATAAATTCTTTATATATATATATAGTATTTTTTATTCTTCTTGTACATAACATGTAGGACACGATTTTTCACCAGAAAAAATTACAGATTCTACCTCATTAAGTATCTGACTTACTAAAAGTATCTTTTTTAAAAATTTCTACACCTCAATTAGTTCTAGTCTAAAAGGTAGAAATATGTATAAGCTAATATTAAGAGGTAGAAATAAAAGAATGCTTCATTACAAAAGGTATTTTTAAAAATTGCCCTTTTCACCACCTGATCAACTGCTATCTATATGACACATTCATCCAAATAAACTTTTCTTTTGACAATTTGATCTTCCTGCTTTATTATTGTTACAATTAGGTCCCAAGACGGTGGATCTTTACAAATTTCCTCAAATTTATGCTTTTATTGAAATTTAAGGGCTGTAGTGTCAACCGATAAGCGTATGAGTTCCTTAGGGAAATAGCAACACAAATACTCAAATTTTTATAAAAGCTACATAACGGGATTGATAATTTGGACAAATGATTTTGTTGTAACGGCTAATTTGCAGAAACACTTTATTAATAAAAACTAAATTGCGACGAAATTTTCAAATAGACGTTTCTATATTTTGGAAGGAAAAAAAAAAATCAAGAGGTGAAAGGTATTCATGAAAGCTTAAAAGGCGATAAAAATTTATATTATATTATATATATGTATATATATATATGCATAACGTATGGTGATGTTAATTTTCTTATAATGGTTGTGTGTAGTGATAGTAATGCTTCAAAAGCCAATGATAAGCCTTCTCTTGATCATGATCATCTTAATCCCGACGCTCGTGATGATCAGTTCTGATAAGATTACATCATGCAAGGCCAATGACGAGTGCATGTCGGATTGCATCAGACGATATTCGTGTCTGTCGAGGGGATCATCCGTTTGTTTTCAGGTCTGCCGGTCAGAATGCAGCTCCCACGTG